ATGCTGGCGCAACGCTCGGATGCGATGCGCTAGCGAATCGCTCGATTCGCAGACTATGACGTCGGCCTTAGCGTTTGCGCTATCTGGCGCCAGTTGGCGTCACCGACTTGATTTCATCACAGTCGTTGCAAACGTCTGTGTAGTGGTTATTTAGGGTATGGTTGAGTTGGACAGAATGCGAATTTTTCGCGTTTCGCGCGCGAAACACTCCGCTGCGGAACATCAGAGGCCGTAAGGTATCCTTCCCCGAATGCTTGCGGGGATGAAAGTCCCTTTAACTTTTTGTTTTGAACGACACTGTTTCTTTATTCTCAATGCATGTTTACTTCTCTTGGGAGCGCCAAATGCATATTTATGCCGCTGATTTCACCCGACAGTATAAAGCCATCGTTTTTCTTCACTCGTGTTACTAAGCACCAAAGAAAAGGTGCCTCTTCTGGAAAAGTTCAGTTTAGCAATGGGAAGAATTGCAAGCCGCACTTTGTAGAAACGCTGCGGGTCTAACGGGGTGCTTCTGGTAACGATTAGCCGTCGCCTTCTACTGCTTCTAAATCTGTGCCGTGATAGTAGGCTTCTAACTTCACTTCCGCACCATCGGAACGTCAGAACCTAGGATCTTAGAATCCCCAACACTGTCGCGGAGCGCAGTGTAGTTCTCTGACTGGTTCGGCTAATAAGAGGCCTCATCTTTCGTCCTTTGATGGCGTATTTTGCACCTTATACAAATGTAGGGAGACTCCAAACTCTAGCTCAATTATTAAGAGTGTGTGAGCCCTGAAAATACTCATCTGGGAGCTGCGTACACTGACCAATGAAGTGCGGTACAGCATGCCTTATTAAATTATCCACAATAACTCGCTTTGAATTGTGAAGATTTGCTACCAGAGGGAAAATTATGGCATTTCTATGTGGGCATACAAGTGCACCACCAGAAATTGCTTTTGTATTGTCGAATATTGCGCATCATACACTTATTAAACTTCCTTCTCGTAGTTCCTTTTCGTAGTATCTGCAGAAATACAGGAAACATTCGTGAAGCTTGGCGGACCAGTCCAAGGTTTCCAAGGTTTACCATGTTCTCAAGGTTTAAAATAGAGCATAGATTAGAGAACATGGGAACACTTCCCAGGAACGAAGCGTTGTTGATAAAATGGCACTATGGCTTCATGATAAAACATGGACAATCTAGGTGTAATCGCAAGATACAGGGGCATTGTGATGGCAATGCGCTCGATACCGCGTAAAACATTTCTTGTTGAAAATGGGACTGATCCTTAGACGGGAAGGAGACTCCAGAGTCTAGTGATGTTCATTTCCCCTAGCGTTCCTGCCTTCTTCTAGGCTTAGTTCCAGAGGATGCTTCCGTACCTTGCGACAGTAGCAATCTAGCATTCTTTTCATGTAGGATCCAATCATAATGCCTGCACTGACGAATAAGGCAGGCGTTCGGTTACGGTAGCCGCGCGTCGGACGCAATCGCACCAACGCCGGTGCTGGTGCAAATGTCGTCGCCCACGTGGATAAGATACTCCGCCAGATATCAGCAAGCATGCTGGAAGCAGCTTATCCGCGCAACTTCTATCAAGTGCGGTGGCTGCCACGTCATTTCCGGTGACACGCCCAATCAGACTTCGAGATTTGGAGTGTATATGCCTCACTAGTTCACTAGTTAGATCGCCAGGACTAACCATAAGCCTCAGCGAGGGGAGGGCTCGGAGTTGACTAAGCCCCTCACCCTGGGACCTCGCACGCTTCAACTTTTGCCACACGGTACCTGGTTTACATTCCTCGGAGTCTCCCCTACCCCTGAACTTATTGTTATTCTCAGGCACTATGTACAGGTGAGAGCGCTCAGGAGACCAGGGAATATGCGTTGAACAGAAACATGTCAGAGACATATGTCATATTTGTAATCAGGACACAAATAAATAAATACCATACAAAAGTTACTCTGAATTCGGTGAGAGCAAGCGTCGTAACAAAGTACGTCGTAACAAGACGCTAATTCGCGACAGGTCGTAAAAATGGCAGATGGTAAGAATAAATGTCATTTTCGTTATCAAATCTTTGAATTCCCACTCACGTTTAGTTCAGTAGGTTCAGATAACGACTTTTTTGCGTTTCCCAGCGCGAAACATTTTTCGTTGTGAGAACTCCAGGTCCGCCCATGATCGACCGTGAATCTGGGGTTTCCGCAGCGAAAATTATTTCACGCTGCGAGGAAGGAATCACTCAGATGTCGGTTAGACTCTGCGATTGCATCGCGCGATGCAGTCGCTCTGCCTAGAGCGATTGGCATCGCTCCAAAGTGCGAGCGACGGGAGATTTACCCGAGCGGCGCCGTGTGTATCGGTCGTCGGCGGGGTAAATCTCCCGTCGCTCGCACTTTGGAGCGATGCCAATCGCTCTAGGCAGAGACTGCATCGCGCGATGCAATCTAGGCAGAGCGACTGCATCGCGCGATGCAATCGCAGAGTCTCACCGACATCTCACTGGTAGGAGTTCAGGTGCTAACTTAGTTGGGGGGGGGGCACGCGGCGGCGCGGCAGTCTGCTCACCTGGGCTCTCTCGAGCGAGACAGTGTAAACTCGAACATTCCAGCTTTTCACGCATGTCAAGTGACTGCCCCCACCCCCTAGACTGCCTACACTCCCCCTGGCCCACGGATTTCCGAACATGCCAGGCGAGCAGACTGCCGCGCCGCCGCGTGCCCCCCCAACTAAGTTAGCACCGGAGTTCATAGCAACTTTAAAAGACTCCTTGAGCCAAAATAGCACTAGGGCAGACTGTGCACCGTAATGCCCCCAAAGGGTGTGGGTACTTAGGACAGAACGCGACTTTTTCGCTCTTCGCAACGCGACATCGCGCGGCAGGCTGGCGCACCCGCAGCGAAAACAACTACGGTATGAAGAGCGCGCGATTGGAGCAGCTTTTTTCGCATGCGTGAATTTGTAAGTTTCTGATTTATTGCTTGCCCACGCTCACACTCATTGTATTGAGACATGCGGTGAATCACCAATTCTCTCTCATCAATGGAAATGTTTTGTGAATTACACGATTCCGAGCGATGCCGTTAAAGTGGTATTCTAGAATTCTAGAACACTTCAAATTATTGGTGAACGAGGTAATTACACACTCATCGGCCTAGGTAATACTCTATATATCATAGCAAACTCTGACGAACTGATCCTTTGTCGTGAGTCTCATCGAACGTCCATCAACCACTCCTCTTCCAGGGTCTACCATCCATCCTCTGCAAAATTAACCTACCTCTTTCTTCACTGCTAGTTAGTGGTCCTCTTCTGGTGGCCATTTCCTCGTTCACTATCAAGTCCATGGCTATTAAGCTTCAAACTCCTTGTCGCAATCAAAGCCGACACAAATATCGCGCTCCAATCGCGCGTTCTTATACCGTAGTTGTTTTCGCTGCGGGAGCGCCAGCCTGCCGCGCGATGTCGCGTTGCGAAGAGCGAAAAAGTCGCGT